TATAAATTTGAGCCTGATCGATACATATTTAGTCAAGATATAGAATGTATTACTATTGTAGTCCAACAAAACTACTAAGAGTAATAATCGTATATATCTGCTCAGAAGGCCTGGAAAACCAAACCCTTGTAGAGTATTTAATAGCTCATTGCGGTCTATCGTTTGAGTATATAATCGATCCAAAAGCGGTTAGACACCTGGGGACGTTCCCTCGTGAGTGGAGGTTGCTTCATTATATGGAAGTTGGTGAACGAAAAAACAATAAAACGTTGAAACCTTGCTGAAGCAAGATGGAAATCTTTTGAGTTTGGCGACGGGCACTCCTTAGAAATCTCTGAAGATAGTATACAACTATTCTTGAAATTTTATTAAAGAAATTTACGACATTTAACTCAAGAAACAAATAAGATATGAAGAACAAACACGAAAGAAAAACGTTTTTTCATTCCTACGTCAATACTCCTGAGGCAAATCCGTCAGAAAGACTACACTCTTAGCCATAGAAATCGGGAAAATATTAGAAGTTTTGATATATAAAGCAAGGAAACAGTGTTCGTAGCCGAATTTTTCTATTTTAGGCCAGCGTTGTATCTGTTTCGTTTTTACCTAGTTCTCAAATAGTAGAAATATTTTTCTAGGAGTCCAGTAAGATTCGTTTACTCTGATCAAATATTTATCCGACTGAATAAAATAGAGAAAATGTAGCTTTTGAATACGTATATTTACAAAAGTGGACGAAAGCAAGCATGCCAATATTTGAAAATAGCCTACATGAAGTATATGAAGGGATTACAGAATAAGATTTACATCTTTGGAGATTAGCTTTTCGAGAACGTACTATTTTAAATGAAGAGTTTTTACTTTTTGTGATTTTGCCTGTCCAGATTTGAACGATAACTTAATAAACAAAAAAGAGAAACAAACCTCAAATGAATGAAGATATTCTTCATTTTGGGTTAATTCAAAATCATCATTATCTAAAAATTCAGCCGCTTGTTTATCATTATTTATGTTTCGAATAAAAAAAGCAAAAAAAATTGCCAAACTAATAATCTATAAAACACAAGTATACATTGTTTAAATCATCTCATTATGAAACAAAAAGAATTACTTTTAATGGTTGAATCAAAAGAATTGATGAAAAGAAACCACTAATAAGTGATGTTAACCATTTTTGCGTTTTTAAATCACCAAATTCAATACCACGAGCAATAATAAAAAATGTTGAACTTATAGCCAAAACAAATGATAAACCATAAATAATAAATAAAAACCACCAAGGAAACATACATATCGATTGTTTCTTCTTATTTGACTCAACACTAAACATCAAATAAAAGAATATGTATTCTTATGAATAAAAAGTTAACTAACGGCATTGGTTGTTGTTTTAATTTGTACAATGCTTCACGTAATGGTGAAGCTTGTTGGAAAGATCGTCGAGATGATGTTCGTCGAAATAATTGAATAAGTAACAAAGTTGGTACAAGTGAAAGTAATTCAACAATAATACCAATACTAATCTAATTATATCAAAAGAATTTTTACTTAATTGAAACAAAAAAATTAAAAAAAAACCTGTTGAGGAGTTATATAAAGTGGACCTAATGATAGACTTCCACTAGTCTTAGTTGTTTTTGCTTCATTTGCTTGATCATAATACAGAATATTAAGAAGCATGGCAGTAAAAAGTAATACAAAACAACAAGTACATCGTTGAACACGTGTAAATCTATTTGATGGTGGTCGAGAAAATATTGAAAACCAAAGATGACCTTCTGATACACTATAATAAACTTGTTTCGATAGTACATATGAAAATTCTTGTTTTTGTAATTCACCAGCAATAGGTAAAATACGTTCAATCTAAATATTTTTGACGTAGAGTAATGTTTATGAAAAAATTTAAAAAAAAACTGTGAGCGCGATATCAATATGTGAAAAAAAACGATGTAGTTGCTGTTGCTAATTACAAAAAGATTGTTCGGGGATGTACATTTCTATCTCATATGCTTGAACACTCATTCCATTTAGATCTTGTTTCACAAAAAGTACTTACACGTCCATCTTCTTTTTCTACTGCAAACCATTGTTGACAAATAAAATAAAATTTTTCCATTGTTTGTAAATCACGAACAATAATATACTTAAGAAACCATGATGCTGATACACCATGACCTGTATTATCATGCCAAATACGAATATAATTTAATGAGCCTAATGATCTAAAATCATTAAATTTCTATAAAATTGATTATCATTATACAAAATAAATTGTTTTACTTTGGAACAGCCATAATAAAAGCATCAATTCCACCACGTTGTAAAATCTTTCGATGAGGATCTACAAAAGTACGAACAGATGTTTCATCATTATCACCAACAAGAATAAATTGAACCTATGACAAAAAAAATATATAAAGCCAAATTTTAAATATAATCTAATTCGTTCGTTTATTTTATTTATTTACTTTTGATTTTGTTCCAGCATTTTTTCTATTACCAGTAAAAACAAGAATTTGATAGAAATATTGATCATTAGAATCATTATTTGATAATGGTGTAACTCCCAACTAAATAAATTTATAAAATCTTAGAAATAATTTTCAAAATATTTTTCTTTTACTTTTTCAATATCTTTTTTATCTTTATAACGTGCATAAATAACTAATAGAAAATAAAGAATATAAATACAAATAATAGTCAAATAAACAGTTTTATTTTTCATAAAATCAGCATTAGTAAAAACATAATTCCAATTGATAGGTGCTGGTAAAACAAGAAATCCACTAGCAAATGTTGTCAAATGAGTTGAAAAACATTGAGTTTGATAGTGATTTGTTTGAGATCCGACCTTTGATTAAACATCATGAATTTTATGATGTATAAAAAGAAATAAAATCGAGAAAAAAAGAAACAATCTTACTAATAATCCATCTGTTTGCCAAATATTATTTGTATCTAAATAATAACAACATGTCGTATAAGTTCTTAATTCATAATTTGAAGTGAAATTAAATGGTTGATTTGTTATTGGTGGACTATTAATGGATTGATTTATACAATAATTATAAAATTCTGTTGAATTTAATTCTCGTAAACCAAATATTACTGATTGATGACCAGATGTTTGTTGATTATTAAGAAAATATGTATAAAGAGTATCATTTGTTAAATCTAAATTAAATAAAAACAAATATGTATAAGACGTACAGACTAATCGAATAGCCTGACAAATAAAAGGTAGTTATGCCAATTAATATATTGAAAATCTCTAAAATCGCACCTGTACTAATATACAGCGGCTATTCATAAAGAACTAATCAGCACAGTAACACAAAAATTCTATGGAAATCTAAATGAAGCCCTTCTCTGAGAATAGACGGTTACTCACAAGAAAAAATTGCACAAGACGTAATATAAGACCATGAGATTTTCAGTTTTTGTTTGACATCAAGCATAAACTTAGGAGTTTTTGAACCTAAAAGCCTAATTGTGTAGTAAAAACTATCTTTTTTAAACTAAAACTAGTTTTTTTTCTAATTCAGAGTTAAGGAGCTGCGATTCGAGTTCACTAAAATGTGGGCTTGCAGCTCCCTACTTGCTTGATCTCGTTTACATAAATACCAATAAAACTATTCCGTACAGCTGAAGATTTTAATGTTACTATTTGCTTGCCGATTTTCAATATTGACCTTTGTTCGCAAATAAACTGTTCAATTTTCTTTGTTATTAACATAATGCTCTTGCTAATTAAGCGACAACTGTTAATTTATTAAGTATCGAGTGTTTGGGACAATGAACAACAAGACATAACTGAACGGGAAGTTTTTTCTGAGAGTAGTTAATAAATAGCTAAAAGCTTGATCTTTCACTAATTCATATAGACGAAAGGTGTCAAATATTAGGGTCTGAACTCAACCGAATCGAGACTCGGATTTACAAAAACGTGGACTAGTCCGAATGATTGTGTGAAATCCAAATAAACTTACTTAAAGGACAAAAAATAGTCCATCCATCAGTCTGATTGATTGAACTATTTAATTGTGGAGAATCATCAAATCTATAAATTAATAAATAAGCAAGACTAATATTCAATGGATGCATTTCAAAAATAAGTGCAACAGTTCGATTATTATTCCATTGTGATTGTTGAATATTAATATAATGAAGATTAAATAATTGATAATGAGGAGTTATATTCATTGAAGTAACATTTTGTAAATTCATCAATGGAATAATTATATTTGAATCACGAAGTATAATAAATTCAATTGGATGATCTATATCTGTTTGAAAAGATATTTCATTTCCATTACGATCAAATATAGTAAGTGAAAGAGATGTTGAGAGATTTGTATTTGATTGTAATTTAGTATGATCAGCTAATGCAAGTGGTTGCATTATTGACTATATAAATAAGAAAGAAAAAAGAATTTGAAGCAACCATTTAAATGAAAAAAAAATTAAACAAACTTGAAGTGAAATTGATGTATTATTATTTGTAGTTAAAGTAAAATTTGATGGTATACGAATTTGAGCATTTCCAACTTGTTGAATTAGTTTATTTGATAAAGCTTCTATTGTTATTGTTTCTGTAAAATACAATATGGATGATGTATTTATTATCGAATTTTGACCAATATTTAAATGAATATTGAGTGATTTAGTAATCAATGATATTGTTTCTGTTACTTGAATATTGATTTGATCTGCTATTTGTTTTTGATAATAACTATTTCGACCTTTTTGAATTGTTTCCCATGAAAAATCATTATTATCAGCAAATAAATCTAATATTTAAATAAAATATCAAATTGATCAACAATATGAAAATATAATTTATACTTGGATTAGACCATTCAGATTCCATATCAGTATCATAATCAATAGGAAAATTATTAGCACGAGACCAATCCAAATCAAGTATAGTTGCTCGTTGTTGTAATGGTCCATTAACACTCTAAAAAATAATAAATAACTTTCTTTTCTTATGAAAAAAGTCTTACACTTAAAACATTATTTGCACATTGACTTATATAATTCGCTGCTATTTGAACATCTTCACTAGCAATTATTGTTGCCATTGAATGTAAAGCCCATGCCAATTGATAACATTTATCTGATGCAAGCATCTATTTTTTTTTATTATAAAGATGAAATAATTAAAAAGAAAATATTAAAACTATTACTATAGTTGTACGTGTTAATTGATTGGTAGCTTGAGTGAATTGAGCTAATGAAGATGCTTGTAATTTAATACTGTCAGCAGTTGTAATTGTAAGATTAGTTATGTATGTAACAAGAGAATCTCGAACATTTGCATAAGTATTTAATTGTTTATTGTACTCAGCAAGAGCAGAAGCGTTTAGTGATACAGAAGACTAAAGTTATGGAACAAAGTTTAACTACAATGTATATTTGATTTTTTACTATAACATCAAGCATCTAATTTAAATCTAAATAATGATTTTATTAGTCAATAGAGTACCCGTAGTTTTCAGGCTTCAGAAGGTACTTTTTACCGATGCTATCTTAAATAGTACGAAATTCTGTGAAAAAAATGAAGGATGATCGCATTTTCTACGAGCTTCCTTTAGTCAAATTTTGTGATACGTATGAGTTTTTAAAGGGAGATTATAGAGAATGTGGCAATCATTTATTTTGTCCTCTTTAAAATGATATTTTTAAAAAAATAGGTCGAGCATAGTTTTCTGGAACCTAATAACTTCTGCGTCTGGCTATTTTTAGAAATTTTGCTATGACAAGCATTAGATAGAAAACTCTATTGACTATTAAAATCGATATCTGGATTTGAGCAAGGTGCTGAACATCATAGGAAAAGATCAAAACTATACTGTTGTTAAACTTTTTCACATCATCTTACATTCACTAAAAATTAATTTTTTAAACAAAGGTAAAATAACTTACTGATTGTTGAGTTTTGCTACCCAATGGTGTTATAGCAATAGTTGTAGATGAAATACCATCTGAAACATAAATATGTTTATCAAGTGCAAAAATAATCAATGGCTTCAAGTCTAAGACATTTGCTCTCTTGAACAATCGCTCAGATGGGTTTGAATGACGAGAAAACTCACACTAGAACCCGCAACTCCACAATCATGTGAATAAATATCCTAGTGAACAACTGCCTGAATCTCAATGACTTTACTTACTTGATATAGCTGTTTCTATAGCTTGATTATTCATTGTATTGAATTGTTGTGAAAGTGATGTAACTATTTGACTAACCATATTTTGATTACCACTTGCAAGCATTTGAATAAATGCATCGTTAGTTGAGTTTTGTAAATTACCTAATAGACTTTCCATTTTTTTCCAATCTGGTGTAACTATAATAGATGACATATTAAATTCTGCAACACAATCATATGTGTCACGAATATAAACAATGATATTGAGTACTGATGTATTATCATTTGTAGCAGATAATAAAAGTTGAGTAGTGGATGTATATGAATGAGCAAACATTACTCGATCTGTCGGATTTGTTGTCCATCCTGTCATACGAAGAAAAAACATCAATTATTTAGTTACTTTATCAAAAATTGAAATAAAAAATACCATAGATTGAATAATCTTTGATACCATCATCATCAGTCCAATTGAAACAAGATATAGTAAATAATGTACTGGTTGTACCATTGGTAGGACTAATTGAACAAAAACCATTTTGAGGTGATCGATTAATAATAAAATTTAAAGAACTTGAACTTGATTCTGATGAAAAAGAATAAACAACTTCAAAACGCCAATAGATAATATAAGGATTGTCAATAAATAACTTATTTATAGCCGTAAAATTGCTCGTATTCATACCTGAAAAAGATTTCATTGATGATATTAAATAAATAAATAAATTTACCAAAAAACCAAATATCTTGATAGGCATTCATTTGATTGAATAAAATCCATTGTGTAGTATTTGATGATGAATTCATTGAACCTTGATAAATATTCCATGTTATATTTTGAACTGTTTTACAATCATCCATACACATAGAAAAAAGTGCTACTTGAGTTGTCGGATTAAAATACTGATATTCAACATTTGGAATACACATAGTAGATATAGCACAACTAAACAAAAAATTCAATTTGATATTAATACCATAATATAATAGAAGAAAAAGAGAAAGTTACACAATAGCAATCATATGAGGATTAGAATCTTGAATATGCACTAGAACAGAACCAGTAGCTTGTAAAGAAGAATTTTGACGATATGTCATAATGACCATGAATTGATATATCTGATTCGAAGCCAATGAACCAGAAAGAATTATCAATGAAGATTTACGTGAGACGTTAGATCCAAGATATTGCCATAATACTCTACTGTCTTGATACAAAAGCCCAAAACAGAAATTATGCAAAAAATAAAAATAGAAAATTAATACTTGACTGATTTCCAAAACATGATGGATTGATTGGATCAATTCTTGAATCATCTATTGTCAACATTGATCCATTGATGCTTGGAAAATTGTAAACACCATACATTCGACAGTAATAGTCATAATTCCAATTCTACAAAAGAGAAAAAAACACTTGTTCTTCTATACATACGTAGTCACTTACACTTGTATTGAATACAATTGCATCAGGATCAACAGAATACGTTCCAGGATTGAAGGTGAGATTCTGACGATATCCATGTGCAATCATCGAAGTTCCATATTGAACCAAATTAACGATAACATTTGAAGGATTAATTGTAATAAAAGTAAACATGGAAGAAGTTACATTCGACATAGTCATCATGGTTACACTTAGTTTGAGCTCATAAGTTCCATAAGGAAGAGTTTTTGCAGGTATGAACAGCTCACTACGTGTTGTGATTATCGATTGGTTCAGTTGCACTTCAGATATACAACTCGACGAACATTCTCTGATTGTCCATTTGATGATAGTCGATAGTGATTCACTACAATTGAGTTTGATATAAGATGTCATATAAATGTTTTGACTTCGCCGATATTCTGTTGGTGATCCTAATATTGACACAGTTGGAGAAAGTGTAATCATAGGAGCAAAGCAACCTAAGTTCCAAAAGAACTCAAAAAAAAAACTTCTCTATATTTTACTAGAACCTACTTCTATTTACGATTGGCATTATGGACGTGATCGGAGATGCATTTATAGACGTGACCGATACTGTCGTTGCAACTGATGATGCAGTAGTATTCACGAGCATCCTACCTGTTGTAGCTAGTAATGGTGCGGTTGTATCAGGCAGGATTGTGCTCGCCCATGATGATGATCTAGTTGTAAACGGCAACATGCTTCTAGTAGTTTGTGCCAGTGACGATGTGGACATTTTGGGCATCATAGTTTCGGTTGTGACTGTCGATGAGGATTCAGTTGCAACGGACAGCACCGTTTCTGTTCCCGACGACCGCACAGTCGTGAATGGCGACATAAATCCAGTGGTTGCTGCTGCCGGTGGTATAGTGATATTAGGTAATGGACTTTCTGGTGCTAACGATGCGGGAGCAGAATTAGATGGAATGGTTTGTGGTATAGTCGATGACAATGATGTTGTTGTATGAGACATCATGACTGATGTTTCCACCGAACGTGCAGTTGCATCAGACACCATTGTTTTCGATACCAATCCCGGCACAGTTGTAAACGGCGGCATGCTTTCAGCTGTTCCTGCCGATGACATCAACGTCATATTAGACAGTGTGTTTTGTGCTGTAGCTGCGAATAATGATGTGTTTGCATCAGGCATAAATGTTTCTGTTCCTAATGATTCTGCAGTTGTATTAGACGTCCTAGTTGGTGACATTGATGATGGTGCAGTCGTGAACAATGGGAGAGTTACTGCTCCTACTGTCTGCAACGGTATGGTTATATTCGACAACAAAGTTTCTGTTCCAAGTACCTGGGACGGTGTACTTGTGTACAGCATTGTATTTCCTGTTCCCGACGCTTGTTCAGTAGCATTATACAACATAGGTGATGTTTGTGATGATGGAGCAGTGGTAAACGAAAGCATAGCTTCCACCGTTGGTGCCGTTCCTGTTCTTGTAGATGCTGAAGTAGTATCAGACACAGTTGTTTCTTTTGCGACTGTCGGGAACACTAAAGGAGCATTAGACAACATTGTTTCTGTTACATGCACTGATGATGGCGCAGTTGTAGGAAGCACTGTAGTTCCCGTTCCTGATGATGATGCACCCGTAAACGACTGTATTGTGCCTGCAGTTGCTGTCATTGACGATGTACTCATAGTAGAAACAATGGTTTGTTGAGTTGCTATGGACCGTTGTGTACTTATTTCCGGCATCAAAGTCTCTGTGACCGATGCTATTGCATTTGCATTAGACACTATCGTTTCGGTTCCTAACGATGATGAATTCATAAATTGCAGTATCGTGCCCGTCGTTGGTGTAGGTGACAGTGTAGCTATACTAGATAGCCTGCTTTCGGTTATGACTGTGGATGATGGTGTTGTTGCATCAAACAACACAGTTCCTGTTATCCATGACGGTGAAGCAGTAGCCGACAGCCCGGTTCGTACTGCTGCTGTCACTGATGTAGGGGATGCATCAAGTAGAATCGTTTCTGTTGTAGGTACTAACGATGATCCAGTTGTATCAGACAGCATGGCTGCTGATTCTACTGCCAGCGATGAGCTACTGATGTTTTGCAGCACGCTTGCGGTTGTTATTGTCGATGATGTTTCATTTGTATTAGGAACCTGGGTGCCCACTGTCAAGAATGATACATCCGAAACTGGTAGCATGGTAGCCGAGACTGGCATCAAGGAGTCAGTGGTCGTATTAGATATTGTGACGCTTGTCGTCATTGATGTCGTAGTCATGTTTTGTGTTGTTATTTCTGTTGTTATTGACACCGTTGTAGTCATATTTGGTACTGTTGAATCTGTTGTTGATACAGTTGTAGTCATGTTTGGTCCTGTTATCCCTGTTATTGTTGCCGCTGATGTTGTAGTCAAGTTTGGTGTTGTCACTTCTGTAGTTGTTGTTGATGTTGTAGTCATGTTTGGTGACGCCGTTGATGTTGCAGTGATGTTTGGTGACGCTGTTGATGTTGTAGTGATGTTTGGTACTGTTAGCTCTGTTGTTGTTGATGTTGTAGTCATGTTTTGTACTGTTAATCCTGTAGTTGTTATCGTTGATGTTGTTATCATTGATGATGTAGTTATATTTGGTGCTATCAATCCTGTTGTTGTTGTGCTGGCTATCGTGTTTCCTGCTGTAGTCATATTAGGCATGACGTTGCTAGCTGTGGTTGTTGATAGTTCAGTTACATTTGGCAATATGGTTGTCCCTATGATAATGAATGATGATACTCTTGATATCATTTTTCGATGGAGAATAGCGATAGTTTCTTTTCTCGATGTATGGTATGTAGGAATCGAACGGTCGAGAGAGGACGTTTCGAATGTAGTCAATCGAAGTGTGTATGTTGAAGTTATTTTTCTGTTGTCTGTTAATTGGATTTTTTTCTCTCTAGATATGTTAAAGCTTCTATTGACAGGGAGAGTCTGCTTACTATGCTATGCTCTATTCTTAGTGTAAGTTTTATGTTTGAAATTTTTTGCAAAATATGTGATTACTCATAGCTTACAAAATAAGTTTACGGAACTTTCGAAATGTCGGAAAAGGTTTGTTTTTGATAGTGCAATTCTTTCACATTTTTTCAGATTATGAGATAGAATAACTAAGCGCATCGGCTAACCCTGGGTTTTTAAATATAGAGTGTACATAGCTATCCAGAATTCAACGAAGCATTGTCTGATGCCGAAATTTCATCAATTTCATGAATAATTAAACATATACCAATGTAAATTATACTTTCACTAAATTCATAAATATCTGTTCCAACAAATATCTTAGTGGAAAGATTTGTTGACCTAACTGTCAATCGTTTGATGTGAAAGAACAAAACTTGTTGGATGTACACTGAAGTTTCTTTTTTAGCAAATACTTTTTTATTAATATTTTATGATATATCATGAAATTTCAAGGCTTGTTCATCCTTTCTAAAATGGTTCGATGATGAAATTTCATATGATAAGTTAAGTGAAGATTTTTACGCACTACTTGGTGTGACGGTAGTATATGTGTATTTTCTTGAGTTTTCTGTTGAAAAGTTTTCGCCTGTGAATGTTGCGAAAGATATTGATGATATGGAGTTGATTTTTATGAGAAAGAATCATATTTAGAGATTATCAAAAGGGAATTCGTTCGAATGAATCTTGTAAATTCTAATAATTTTATTGATGAATGTATATTATGTCTCCTATTCGCCTTAAATAATGAGCTTTCCAAATCGTTGTTCAGTTTCTGAATGTTGCTATAATGAGATAGATTGTAGAAAATGGATTTTCATCACCGTATTCTATTTAACTTCCATGTTTGACTATAATATTATGATAACTAAATTAGTGAAGTAATGTATCAAATATCCGCGTGATCTTTGATAAACTAGTCAAAATTCAGGTATTCCTCTTCCGAATGGTTTCCCAAACATTAACTATTCGCTAATCAAACGACAATATGGCACCCGCATAAACAGCAAGAAAAAGATTGGAGAATAAATGCTGATGATTTTTAATAGAGAGAATCAATTATGCAATATATTGCACCACTGATGAAAGAAAAGAAGAACAATCCATACTGAAAGCAATACGCTGCGCAAACGACCATGTTTCTAATTTTTCTGAATAACATTTGCTTCGATCACTTATGACTAATTCCTAATGTTATGATTAGATAATATCTTGCAACATAGGTAAATATCGGATCAGACAGATATGATGCTATCAAATCCAACGTGTTAAACTTGACATTCTAGTCAAGCATCAATTCGAATTTATCATTGGAATCAGTTCGAAACACAACGATCTTTGTACTCCTCCGTTTAGTACACGAATTATTAAATGTTATTTGCAGACAACAAGCTTAATAGAATGGTATTGTGTCTGTCCTGATGGCATCCATTATTCTAAATATTCATTATTACTTCGTATTGGAGGCATGACATACCTTCTTTTCATAAAATTATATGATTTCACAAGATTTTTTTCCTCCAGTTTCTCTCTGATGATCTCGAAATATCATTGTTCCTTTCGAGAATAAAATGCATGTCATCAATATTCTTGAAAATATTTACAGTCTGAAATTTTTTCAACTGAAAAATCAAGAAAGCTTAAGTATACCACCACAACACTAAGTAGCCAGTAAAAACCCTTATTAAACTTATCATATGAAATTTCATTATCGAATCATTTTAGAAAGGATAAAAGAAACCTTGAAACTTCATGATATACCATAAATTAATCATTTATCTTAAACATGGATGAAATTTAATTAGGAACTCCATAGTAACTAAATAATGGCAAAAAAAAATACATTCAAAATCAAATTACCGATTGCTTGATGGATAACCAACAGAACAAGCAGCCATAAACATTTTCTATCTTTCGACAGCATACTACTTGATAAATTTTTCGATTATAATATGAAGTTATAGTACGTAAAACAATTCTTCAAAATATGATTGACAACTAAAGTTAATCAAAAAGAAAAAGAAGTAATGACAATAATCGTGTTGTTGATGACCTTTCTCTTGCTTGAGTACTATATGTTTGAAACTATCGTGTGTGTTTTTTTTGAATATAAAGAAAACAATTCGGTAAGTGAATAAACATGAACTTTTTATTCATATGAATAAATAAAAGAAAACTACATTTCAAGCGAGTATAGGCCGTAGAAAGAAATGTTGATCCTCAAATAAATGAATTGTTTTGCACCTTTAAATCCGCAATAATCATTTTAAAAAAAATCTCTGTAGAAAACTGTTTCCTAATGTTCCTAACTCATCGAACATTAATTACAATTCAATCTTGATAGTAAAATTATAGTTTAGATTTCATCAAATATCTTGTTTTTTGCTTATTAAAATTTAAATAACAAACATATCATCCGTATGTATTTTATTCATATTTTAAGGAGATCGGTTCAAATATCTCTCGTTTTCCGAACAACATACTTACACACATTATATAAGATCGAAGAAAGTTGAATATTTGCTTTTAAAAAACTAATGATGTCAATTGAAATCTTCCACCGAACGATAGAAAACGTCAATCTCTTTTTTTTTCTCTTTCATTATTTGTGTCGGTTAAGGTGTTTACACAATAGAATATTCAATTTGAAAAATTTACTATCTCATAGAAGATTTTGTCTTTAAATGTGTTGATATTTTATAAAAGTTCAAGAAGATCAATTATATCAGCCGTTTTTTTTTCAATGACAATCTTCATTATTATTATTTTTTTGTTTTTTTGACAATGAATAAACTTATTCTAAAACTTTCTATTATTTTGATTTCTTTTTTTTTTCATGCATAAAACTTATTTTACAATATGAAATAAATCGATGCATATATTTAAATAAGTTAGAAAATATGAGCAGTTGAATGTATACATAAAGAAAAGGTGAAAACAATATAACAAACAAACAAAAAAAAATGAAAAACGGAGGAAAAGGCTTGTTCTTATTCGCAATGTGCGTATAATATACATTTAACCTAACTACACACATATACATATATCTACGAAATACATTTAAATGTATGTCACAACGTTATTATTTACAAATAACAATGCACAAACTTACATACTTACAAAGAAGAAAACAAAAAAAGAAATATGTTCACTAAAGTGACATAGAGTAAAAGATGAAAAGAAAAAGCACGCAGACAAATACATACTACGAATGTATGTTGTTATTGTGGTTGTTAGTTTTTTTTTTTTTTACACAAATAAATAAATAGAAAACACACAAAACACATTTATTATATATTGAAAGACAACTGAACAGATTTTATCTTTAATTCTTTCCGTTGATTAATTATAATGAAGAAAATTTTGTGTTGATTGTTGAAATGTTGACATGATTGGATTATATATATTTGAATCAATCATTGATGGTATTTGTTGTTGAGCATTAATTAATGATGATGATGAATTTGTTGATTGATTTTCTGTTTCCCAAAGATGACGTACAGCTTGAATTTTATCAGCTAAACCTTGTTGACTATCAACAGATAAATGATCATATTGATTTTCTTGTTGTTGTTGTTGCATAGGATTTGACATTAGATTGTTGTTATTATTCATTATATTATTTCGTTGTTGTAATGAAAGCATTGATAAAAATCGAAAAACATTCTAAATAGAAAATTTAACGATAGGGTCAAGACTCAAATATCATATTTAGTTAGTGAATGAACTCTAAGTACAAAAATTATAAGTTAACATTTTTGTATTGTTAAGATGTATTCATCAAAAATTTTTCTGATATAAAGTAGAATCCTCCGAATTGGACTCGGAGCGGATTGGATCATATTCATGAAGTAACTTGAATATTATAAGATCATCGTTAAGATTATTTATGAAATGCCGTAGGGCGTGTTAGTAGCAGAATTCGGAATGACTATCATACGTACTAGGTACGTATCTGAAGTGTCCATACACGTTTTGATTTATTCATACAATCATTCGATAGATTATATTGAGTTTAGACAAAGTCTCAGAGGGTTTTGACCCATTGGAAATGAGTTATAGCCGTTTTACTATAATTTTTATTGTGATATCTTATTTTCGAAAAGAATCGAAATGAAAAGTTTTAACCTAAAATTTCGTCTATAAAGATATTTAATAGTCGATTAAATAATTCTGAAAGTTTCAACGAAGATGAACATGTCTTCTTTGAAATATTCAATATACAAATGGATTTGATTGTTATATCCTCTTATGAATAATCGTTGGTTTTTTTTTTAGGACATTGAATATCTCGAGAAAGACATGTAGGTTTTCTTTGGACTTTAAAATATATTTATTAGCAATATAACTCATTGCTAGTAGGCCAGAACCCTCTAGGACTTTCTCTTACCTCAGTATAATCTATCAAATTATGTATGAATGAATCAAAACGGTGATAGAAACTTCGAGTACTTTCCTCGTTATACTCAATGAACTCAATTCCTCAGTGGTGAAAGTTTATTGTTTAATTTTTACCATAGAGTTATGCATAGAGATGCATATCGATTAACATAGGAGGTTATATTTTCTTTTTGTTTTACCTGATCAAGTTGTTGTTGTTGTTGTGGTTGTTGCATAGGAAACATTTGTTGTCTAGTCCAATTTTGTTGTTGTTGTTGATGCATAAGCATAGCTGCTGATATATCATTTGGTTGTTGTTG